GAATTCAATTTTCTAAAAATAAACGATTGTTTCCCTTTTTAAGAAAAGAAAAGTTAAGGATAGTTAAATCTCATTAACGTTCAGAACTTTACGAAAGAAATCTTTTTATTGAATGAAAATAACCAAGAACCAAAAGAGAATTAATTAGTCTACCTATTTTGATTCCAGAAATCTTCCCAAAAAAAACTTTTAAATAAAAAGGGTTAATCCTAAATAACATTAAGTAATATCTTAAGAGTTATTTTTTTATAAGAACCTAAAACTATACCCAAATCTGCCAAGTACATAAAGATAAACACAATAAAATGATGAATCTAAATAAAGGAAAATGAGTTAGTGAAATAAAAATGAATAGCAAAAAAAGAAATATGTATAATAGAAGCATGTTATGACCTCCATTAAAAAAACCTATTTTAAGCAATGAAAGGAAGAAGGACCTTCAATAAAGTTATTGATTTCCTAAGGATTAGAAGCATGTTATGACCTAAATTAATGCAGCATATAAAGAGATTACATAAGGAAAATATAGAAACTAGTTATTACACTTAAACATGACATTCTAGGTGTATTGAAATTGAAGAAAAATAAAAGCGAAAAGGATGGATGGACATTCATAGTTTCACATGCTTTCAAACTATCGAAACTAAAGCAAAAAAAAACGGGCAGGCATGCTAAGCTGAATAACAGCGTAGTCGACTAAACGATATAAAATAAATTTAAAGGTTCAAATAGGAATTTTTGTACCATGCTAATTTAAACTCATTCAATGGACGACACATTAAAGATTTAAAAAAAAAAAGAAACAACCAGAATTAAGGATAAACAACAAGTTACGAGGCACAAACCTATTTCTACTATACGAAAAAGATAATGCAGACATATCTATTAGGCAAGTTCAAACTAATAATGACAAGAATCTGTAACAATGACGGAGAAAAAAGGCGAACAACCAAAGCTGCGACCACTTTCATATCACACTAATGAAAGCCAACCAAACAGAAAATAATCCAAACGACACAACCGACACACTCACAATTGAGACCAAATGAACCTTAGACCATTTCAAACAAAGCAGAACAGATATTTAACTAGACTCGTGGATATAAAATTGGGTTGAAGAATCTAACGACCAACATATAATATCAAAGGAATTTCACTGATGCTTGAGGACATATTAGGCATGAGAATCAAAGCAAGATGAAAAAATGAAAGTCGAGCTTAAACAATTACCAATCCAAATCCATACATTTGGTTAAGGCGATGAAATGAATAACATGATGATCAGTTAGAGGTTCAAACAATGAAAGAAATAAACCTGAAAAACTCATCTTCAAACCGAACAAACTTTCATTCAAAATAGAGAAAAAACGAGAATGAAGCCGAGGAAATCCAACCGAAAATAGGTTCAATACATAATGCTTGGAATCGAAGTAAAACGTAAATGATGGAGAAGGTATTACCGTCTAAGGAGCAGTGACGGGAGCATGGAGGTCTCAAATATACAACTCCTCCACAGATTGTAAAACGAGACTTAGAACTTAAAAACCAAAGTAGATGAACTATAGTAGATGGGGTATTTCTAGGGTCTCAAAAGCTTGGTTGAAGCTGAAGATACAAATGTGTATTAATAGATGAAAACAAGATAAGATTGTGGGTGGGATTTTTGATTTTTTTTCAAACTTCTTCCACACATTGAATCTAATCGTTGATAACATTGGACGAGCTGTGAGCCTTCATGTGATTTGAACAGAGAAGACCAGACAGACTTCAGACTATACGTGAAATAGGAAAGCTTTTACTGTTCCTTTAATAGTGGACATAGTTGAAACATAAAACGGGAAAAGGGGGATGAAGACGCATTTGTTGCTTCCAAAATTTACCCAAAAATGGTTCCTTAAGCATGTGTAAAATAGAGAAAGCGTTTGAAAATTTAGCCTGAAGAGAAAAAGGTACAGCGGTGCCACATAGAACCTACTATCTAATGGTATTAGGTTTATTTGAAAGGAGAGTGGGTTGTTGTAATGGGCGAAAAAGGGCCATTCGAAGGGTAGATTTCAGATAAATTTTATAAGAAAGATGCATTGATTACTTGGTGTGAATATATTGGGCTTTTTGTCTCTTCTTTTAAATTGTTTTTGGTCTTCTAACTTAATAACCAATACTATAAGATGACAATTAATTATTTATAATATCCGAAGATCACTATTACGACTCCATGCTAATTTAGGATATATACAAAAGTATGGATTTATAGTAAATTATATACGTATAAAAACTTGAAATAAGGTGATGATGAATTCATTATTTAAGAAAAAGAGGTATAAAAGTGATAATAGTAATTTCGATAATAAAACATATGGCTTAAATAGTAATTATAGAAACAAAACAACGATAATAACAATTGTAGCGATAAATAGTCGTAGTAGTAAAAGGTAGTTGTGAAAAAGGATAATTTGATATGTTACTTAATTAGAAGCTCGAAACAATAAATTAGACGAATCGAGGGTCAAAATTGGGTGTCAACAACTTCTCCCTATTTGACCAGTGACGATGTAAGATTTTTTGGGGTAAAAGAGTGACGTATTAGTTAATTTTGTCCCGACCAACAAATACGACCTCGGAGGTGAGAAAAGATATGGGCACCAGATAAATTATGAGGCAGAGGATTTTGAAAACAAGGGTATGCGAGCTTATGAAGTTTGCCCAGTGTTGAATTGTGATGTTACTTGGTATTATGAACGAGGAGAGTATTTGAGGGTGAAGTTTGAGGTAGACCCTTGACCTTTGTTGATGAGTTTGACTCTGCAACAAATTGCTCCAGTTCACTGCTTAGAAATAGTTCCACGTTGTGGTAAAGCTTCTGCTGAACTAGAACTTGACAGGGCATTCAGTAAATAATATTAGACATAAAGCAAGGTGTGATAAACACATGGAAATAATACCTCATGGGTGTGAGTTTATGAAAATGCGGTCTTGCAAGTTGAAACGATTTTCTAAAATCTTAAAATTTATGGAAAAAGGGTTTGAGCTCGATGATTCATGATCAATGGTGCTTTTCAGTGATGATTAATGAAAATGAGGCCTTCACCAAATAATTTATGGCTATGAGGCTTTTAGCCAAATGATTTAAGAATAAGACTTTTTAAGCCTGCTGATTTATAAAAAGTAAGTCTTTGAAATCAATGCATTCTTGTAAAGCATTCGTGCAGTATATTTGAAAGAATTTGTGCAATCAACTAAAAGCATTTGTGCAATACATTAGAAAGCGATCAAAAGCCGTGCAAATTTTTTTTTAAATACTTGAAAGCATTTTTGTAGCGCATTTGAAAATATGAATTTATGAGAAACATATGAAGCATCTATGTGGTGCATTTAATTTGAAAATATCTGGAAGCATTTGTGCAGTGCGCTTGGAAATATTTGAAAGCATTTATGTGGGACATCTGAAAGCATTTGTGCGGAGCATTTGAAAATATTTCAAATCATTTGTGATGTGCGTTTGAAATATTTGAAAGCATTTGTGCAGTGCATTTAAAGATATTCATGCAGAGCAAAACCATATGCAATACGTTTAAAAAACTTTGTTATCAACACTTTTTGAAACATTTGTAAAGCTTTACTTCTAAGTTTTCGAATCATAAATTTATAAGTAAGTACTTCAAACCACTCGACATATAGTCTTTTCAATGCTATAGACGTTATTGATCTCTCAGCTTCTGCTAATCCTGACAAACTTGCACTCAAAAAAAAATTATAAGTTTTTGGGAAGGTTGATTCGCGTTGACTTTGAAGGTCTGGCTCTTCATACTTCTTTCTTCCAGCTTTGCTTGGACTCGTAACCTCCGTCTACTCTAAATCTTGGTTAATGAATAACAAGGAAATAAATAACAAGAAAACATTTGATTGAAAAACATATTTAAAAATAAAATAAAATTGTCTACGTATATATAGTAATAGAGAATTTCTATCGAACATCAAATTGTGACATGTCGTGAAACAAAGAGAATATCCTTTATCTGAAATCTTTGTTCTCTTTGATGATTTGATTGACCATATACTCTTCAAAAGAGATATGTTGTTCTTTGGTCAAGATGATACCAAACTTCTATAAGTTACCTACAATTTCAACAAGGGCATCAAGACTAGCATAAAGTATGAATACATTTAAAACTGAAATAAAGGGGCCAAACCCTTCTTGGGTTGCCTACGTATCCAAATGGAATCAGGCCATATGTAGTTCTCTACATACAAACCAAATGGAGAATTGAAAATTTTCTAATAAAGTGACCGAATCCAATATAGGCCGCCTACGTATCCTACTAATGGTAGCAGGCCAAGCGTAGTTCATATTACATAGAAAGGGAATTTTGCAAAAGCCTAGTAGGTGACCAAATCCAATGTGGATTTCCTACATGTCCCACCATGTGAATCTAGTCAAGACGTAGTTCCAATACATGACATAAAGATTACATGAAAATGAAATAGAATTTTCTAAATGTAGTATCTCATAACTGCATCTGCATTGATTGCTTTCGGCCATATCTTACCATCCATTTCTGCTAGAATCAAAGCTCATCCGGTCAGTAATCAGTGAACCATATAAGGTCCTTGCCAGTTAGGTGCAAACTTTCCCTTACATTCATCTTTGTGCGGGAATATTCTCTTCAACACCAATTGTCCCAATTTAAAGTTTCTCTATCTTACTTTCTTGTTGAAAGCTTTGTCCATCCTGAATTGATAACGTTGCCCATCACAAATTGGATTTATTCTATTTTCATCAATGAGTATCAATTGTTCATATCGATTTTGTATCCATTTGGCATCACGTAATACAACTTCTTGGATAATTCTCAGAGATGGTATCTCAACATCCATTGGTAACACTGTTTCCGTTCCATAAACCAAAAGATAAGGTGTTGCCTCAGTCGAAGTCCTTATTGTGGTGAGGTAGCCAAGAAGGGTACATGGCAAATTATCATGAAAATGCTTGTAGTTATCAATCATTTTCTGCAATATCGTCTTGATATTTTTGTTGGCTCCCTCAATGTGCCATTCATCTGAGGTCGATAAGGAGTTGAATTGTGGTGAATAATTTTGAACTTCTCACATATCTCATGCATCAAGCCGATACTGAGATTAGCTCCATTATCTGTAATAATTGACTCAGGGATCCCATATCTACAAATGAGGTTATTGCAGACAAAATATGTCACCACCTTTTTTGTCACATACTTGTATGAAGATGCTTCTACCCACTTCGTGAAGAAACCAATAGCTACCAGAATGAAGCTGTGTCCATTTGAGGCGGATAGCTCAATAGGGCAAATGATATCCATGCCCCAAGCTACAAACGTCCAAGGAGAACTCGTCACATATAACTTATTCGGTGGAATCCGAATCAAATCACCACGAATGTGACTTTGATGAAACTTTCTCACAAAACGAATGCAGTCTGTTTCCATGGTCATCCATAAATATCTAGCTCATAGAATCTTCTTTTCCAAAGTAAAACCATTTATGTGTGGCCCACATGTACCCCCATGTATTTCTTCAATAAACTTGCTTGCTTCTTGAGATTTAACACACCTTAATAATCCCAACTCTAGAGTCTTCCTATAAAGGAATTCTCCACTTAGTAAAAAGTGATTTGCGAGTCTTCGAAGTGTCCTCTATTGAGCATTGTTTACGCCTTCCAGATAGTCTCCTTCCCTGAGATACCTCTGAATCTCATAGTACCAAGGTTATCCGTCCGGTTCTTCACCTACATGGAAACAATAGGCTGGCTAATCCTACACATTGACCTTGATTGGTTCTATATAGTTCTTGTGTGGATATTGAATTATAGAAGACAGGGTTGCCAAAGCGTCTACAAAGTCATTCCGAGCTCGACTAATATTGCTGATTTCTATCTTGACAAATTTCTTACACTATTCTTTCACACACAGCGGATATGGGAGTATCTTTACATTATTGGTGCTCTATTTGCCTTGAACTTGATGAATCAACAAGTTTGAATCACTTATAACCAACAATTCTTGTATGTTCATATCAATATAATTATGAGCCCAAGAACACAATCCTTGTACTCTGCCACATTATTTGTGCATAGGAATCTGAACTTTGTTGAGATAGAATAATGTTGACCTGATTCTGAAATTAGCACTGCTCCAGCACCGACTCCTTTGGAATTCGCAGCACCATCAAAAAACATTCTTCACACTGGATATTCTTCTAAAATATCCTCTCCAATAAATAAAACCTCTTCATCATGAAAATAAGTTTTAAGAGGCTTGTACTCTTCATCCACGGGGATTTTAGCAAGATGATCAGCTAGCGCTTGTCCCTTGATGGCCGTTTGAGTGGCATAAACAATGTCACATTCACATAGTAAAATTTGCCACTTTGCCAGCCTCCCAGTAGGCATAAGCTTCTGAAAGATATACTTGAGTAGATCCATCCTTGATATGAGAAAAGTGGTATACACACATAAGTAATGACCTAACTTTTGTGCAACTCAAGTCAAGGCACAATAAGTGCGCTCCAATAAAGTATACCAATCTTCATAAGGAGTGAACTTCTTGCTCAAGTAATATATAGCTTGCTCCTTCTTTCCAGTTTCATCATATTGTCCCAGCACACATCCAAATGCATTATCAGACACCGAAAAATACAACAGCAACAGTCTTCCAAATTCTGGGGGTACTAAAACCGCTGGACTAGATAAATACTCTTTGATTCTGTCAAAACCTTTTTGACAATCCTTCGTCCACTTGCTAGAAACATCTTTCCTCAACAACTTCAAGATTGGCTCATAAATTACAGATGTTTGTGCAATAAACCCACTAATGTAATTGAGATGACCAAGAAAACTCATTACATCCTTTCGACTCTTTGGAAGAGGCAAGTCTTGAATAGACCATATATTTGAAGGATCTAATTCTATCATTTTTCTGCTTACAATGAAACCCAATAACTTTCCGGCAAGGACACCAAATTGACACCTTGTGAGATTCAATTTCAGATTATATCGCCGTAAGATGTCAAATAACTTCTTCAAATCTCTTATATGATCTGAGATCTTCCATGACTTCATAATGACATCATCCAGATAGACTTCAATCTCCTTATCGATCATGTCATGAAATATGGTAGTCATAGCTCTCATATATGTTACCCCTGCATTCTTGAGTCCAAAAGGCATTACCCGATAACAATATACTCCCCAAGGTGTGATGAATGTTGTTTTCTCCGCGTCTTCTTCATCCATTAGAACTTGATTATATCCTACAAAGTAATCAACAAATGACTGCAACTCATGCCTTGCGCAATTATCAATAAGTATGTGAATGTTTGGGAGAGAAAAATCATCCTTCGGGCTAGCCTTGTTGAGATCTCGATAATCGACACATTCTTTGATTTATCCATATTTCTTTGGCACTGGTACTATGTTGGCCAACCATGTGGGATACTTGGTGAATCGGATGACATTGGCATCAAATTGCTTGAAGATTTCTTCCCTAACTTTCAAACTCAAATCAGGCATGATCTTTCTCGGCTTTTGCTTTACTAGGGGGGATCAATTGACAACCTATGTGAAACACTGTCGGTGCTTAGACCTGGCATATCATCATAAGACCATGAGAACACATCCATATAATGTCTCAAAAGATCAATAAGTTCTTTTCTTTGGGACGGAGTTTAATGGACACTAACTCTTATTTCCATCACTAATTCTAAATCTCCCAAATTTATCGTCTCCGTTTCATGCAAATTTGGCTTTTCTTTATTCAGAAAATGTTCAAACTCCTTAGTCAATTCTTCAAGTTGCACATCTTCTTCCGATTATGCAAAAGTTTGTTAACTATTCGAGATTTATTCACTTGTTTCATTACATGTCACATTCTCAGCATTCACAGATTTATCAGTTTGCTTGCTGAAAGAGAGAAAAATAAAAAATAAAATAAAATAAATAATCAAGGACAAATTTTAAAATTCAAAGTAAAACATAACTTAGATTTGCATTTAAACTTTCAAAAGATGGAGGCAAACCACATCAAGTTCAAAAACACAAATCAATCCTCAATTTAAATTTTCTTGTTTTCTTAATTCTAATACAATCATCTACCAAGATTTCTGAAGAATCAGCGACTTGGTTACAAGTTCAATTGTTCAAAGCATCTCCAGGCATAGCGTTCAATATGGTTGGGGCCTCGGTGTAATCCTCCAAAATCATATTGCATTCAAATTCTTCAAGGAATATATATTTTAGTCCTTTCACAAGGCTATCTTCAACCGCTTCCTCTGATTTTGTTGCAATGAATGCCTTCAAAAATGACTGATTCAAAAGTGGGATAGGTTGTGGTAAGGGAATGTCACTTTTCCTTTTGAAATTAGCCGATGAGATTTCTTTAGGAGTAGGCTCGTATCCAAGGCAAAATATGTATTTCTAACCAAGTAATTGAATTGGTTCCATTATTCCACCCAATTTCGCTACAAGACCTTGACTAGGAATAAAACCATTATTCAACATTTCTCAAGAAACCATCATAAGCAGACCTGGCAAAGTTTCCTTTTCAACTTGAGTAGCACACATAATTTCCCTAAAATGGAATACGGACCCATCCAACTCTTCCATACTTTCAATAAAAGGGACTGAATTTTCAGGATATATCGAATTGTTACCTTCTCCATGAACAACAATTTCCTGGTGGTTCCAAACAAATTTCAAAGTCTGGTGCAGAGTAGAAGGGACCACACCAGCTATATGAATCCACGGCCTTCCAAGTAATAAGTTGTAACTGTAACATCTTTCTAATTTTAAAAACTAGAAAGATCTGGAATTAGAAAAATAGTGATTTTTGGAAATAATAAAAATCTAGAAATTTGACAAGAGTTAGGTTAAGAATGAGTTTTGGGTCAACTTCAAAGAACCATAACTCCTAGCTCAGAATGAGTTAGGTGTTCTTTCAGATACCGTAGAAAATATCTTAGAATTATATTTCCAACTCCACTGAGTTTGCGCGATTTTGAGTTCGTATGAGTGAGATATGCCCATTGGAAGTTGGGTTGTTTGGATAAGCAAAGTCCAATCAGGATTTTAGAAGGGTATTTTAGTCTTTTCCATACCCAATTGATTTAATTTATTTTTGGTAATTACTTAGGGGTCTAAATAGAATTAGATCAGTTTACTCTTTCATAAAAGAGTTATGGTTTTGAGAGAAGAGAAAAGAGGAGAAGAACCAAGGATTCGTCAATTTCGTGGAGAATTGCTTGTGGATTTCGCCAAGGGATAATCCCTACGAGGTATGTGAGTTCATACAGCGTTGGGTTTGTTCACCCACGCGCCAAACATGTTTTATTCAGTGTAATTTCGTCCTAAAAATATTGAGAATTTGATGTTCTTGAGTTGTATTCTTGAATTGCTTTCTTTTTTGAATTTGGGATGAGATTGAGGAGTTCTTGAGAGTTTAAGATCGATTATTAGAGTTGCTTTGAGTTAGATTCTTGTGTATATAATGTGGGTACCTGAATCTAAAAATATATGGAGAAAAACAATTGAATCTAGGTGAATTGGGGGTAGAAAACGAAGAAGGAAAAAGTCGGCAGAATCTGGGTAACAGGTCCGTGACACGGACCTGTTCCTCAGGATCGTCAAAATTTCCTCAGCATCGCGGAGTGGTCACGGACCATTCTATCTCAAAAATTTATTTCGCGACCAAATAATTAAATGCATCTTCGCGTCGCGGACCTGGTCTCAGACAATGATTTCTTAATTTTTTCTCATGTTTAGCTATCTAAAATCACTCCTAAACATCATAAGATCTTTCCTATCACAAATCGCAATCCTTGAATCCATAATTTAATTCAAGAAAAGTTAAGAGTCAAGTCAAGAGAAGTTAAGAGCCAGTCAAGAGAAGTTCATAGAGTCTTCCAAAAGTCTTTTATAAATGATTTAACTTTGTTTTAAGACTTGAAATTTGAGTTCAGTAAAGAGTAAAGTTAAAGTTCATTTCTTCAAAATTATATGGGGACTATGTACTCCCAAAGATTTTAAAATGTTTTCACATTTAAACAAGTAAGGAAACTTTGATTTCCAAAGAGCCTTTGAGCTAGTTTTCAGTAAAGAGTAAACGCTTTCACCATTAAGCAAGAGAGGAAACTTTGATTTCCAATATAGCCTTTGAGCTATGGTTTGAGCAATTATCTCAAACCCAGAAAGAAGTATGTATTTAAACATAAGATCTAGTATTATATTTTGGGAGTAGTATTTAGCACCAATATGGGGGAGAATTCAGACAACTCACAGCCCCTACAAACCATGTAGCCATGGTGGGTAGAAAAAGGGTATTTTTTTTCAAATGATTCCTTTAGTGCTTTTTAGCATAGACTAGTGGATCCACTTAGTAGTTCAGGTTCTATACCCTCGGCAAGGTATATGATGGCCCTGGAAGCGTGAGGCAAA